ACACGACGCTCTTCCGATCTCCCCAAAACCCCAAAACCCCATGAAGTTATTCCAAGAAATCAATAAAGAAATGCAGAAATTTAAGATAATAAAATAATTGAAGAAAATAATGAGCGATTCGGAATAGGAAAATAGGAAATTGGCTGTAAATGAATTCAAGATTTCTTAGCATTTTAATCTATAAGAGCAAGATGAGTAATTATTACTTTTCTTGTTTAATTTTATCAGACTAGATGAAGAGGTCCTTGAGATAGTTGAGTTATTTTACAAGAATAAAAGTGAGCTTGTAAAGCATACCAATCCTGATAAGAAAATAATTATTGATAACATACTTGACTTCAAAGACCATGCAACTGCTATTGTAGGACTTAACCTTAATGAGTACTTTGATTATATAATCAATAGATACAGCCTCAGTATATCATCTTACTAATAATTCATAATTTAGGGAATTCAAGGCACACTTTGAAATTTGAAGAGCTGTATTAGATCTTGAAACCTTGGGCACTATATCAGTCGAGACAGAAAGATAAACTCTAAGCTATGGTTCTTGGAGGAGTTGATAGTCGTGGAGGACATGATGTTAGCTAACCAGGATTTTATGCACATAGTGACGATTACATTTCTGACTACATGAGACAGAATTCATCGTATGATAATACAGCAGGAAAGACATTCATGATTGATGACTAGTTTTACTCAGCAGATTAAGAAGCAATCAGTATGGAAAAAGAACATTACAAACAATAGTCCTAAAGTATTATTAGGTTTAAGCTTGCCAAGCATGAGTAAAAGATTGAAGAAACATTATTAGAGAACTGCAGTGATGAAGCAAACAAAAAGATAAATGTAGCCTAGCTTTAGAGAGTATTTAGAGATTTAGCTTATCTATGTGGATTCATAGTTGTAACATTTGAGGACGTGCTTGCAAATGATTTTATAATGGATAATGATCATAAGCAGCTTAAGCATTCATCAACTAAAGCTATTGAGGAATTTATCAAGTTTGCTTGGCTGTAAGAGCATAATAAATTATTGAAGAAAGTAAACAAAAGATAGTCTTGCTTAAAAAAATCTGGTAAAGAATGGCCAGATGTTGGGCCAATCAAAGATGCACCTTCTTTCTCTGAAAAAGATGATAAAATTGTATTCTTTGAAGATGATCTCTATGAAAAGGAGAGGGCAAAGCTCTAAATTTACTATATGGACTTTAAAAAGCTAATCCTTAATTTTATTGATCAAGAAGATAACTCCTCAGTCGTAGTGGATATCAATAATGATTTTTCTCAAATTGAAAGTTACAACTAAAATGATGGAAAGAACCTAGACTACATATTTTCAAATATGCCTCTAGTGGTTTCACACAACCAGGATCCTGATGAGTTTGACTTTATCAAAGAAAACTTAGAGAGGACATTGAGATAATATCAAAGACTTTATGAAGTAGCAGATTTTAGAACTGAAAAAGAAAGATAGTTTATGAGTGATTTGATTAAGTAACTGTCAACTTAGCTTGACTAGCATTAGGTTAATGTTGCCTAGAAAAAAGCTTTGAATTAGGTAGTAGTCTATAAAGGAGTTTAATCATTCAACTAAATAGAGCCAAAGAGTAAATATGAGAAGAGTTTACAGGAGATATTCTACTTCTATTCTAGATAGCACAGAGTGTTTTGCATTACATTCTAAGAAATGTGGGATGATTCTATTCACATGAGAAACGGGGAGTTCATAATGTTCTGTAGGGAATTTGGAATAAAAATATAGCGTGAAAGAGCAGTGGCAATCTTTAACAAAACCTCTGACTTTAGAAAGCCAATTAGTTTCAAATAGTTTGTCTAATTGCTAGACCTTCTTGCTGTTACTCTAAATGAAATTAAAATAGATCAACTTGAGAAAAGATTAAAAATGATAAAGAAACTCCTAGCCTAGCATTAAAAGAAAATAGATCATATTAAGGGAAAGTAAGAAAAAATAGAACCAATAAAATAGCCAATAAAAGAAAGTGGTCAATTAGATGAGGATGGCAATGAAGAAGATGAATCTTAAAAGACTGTGAGATTTGATAGTCAAGTTTAGGTTAAATTGATATAAGGAGGAGTTTCTGATCCAGCTTAAGCCAAGAAAGAACTTGAAGAAATGCAAGATAGAATCAATAAGATTTAGTAACAGTCAGTACAACTTGAAATTGAAAAGGATAAAATCATAAATGAAGTTTCAAGATGTAAAGCCAAGAAAGTCGATTAATGCAACTAAGAGCTGATGCAGTAATTAGAACTCGACTATCCACAAAAGTATAGAGCAAAGATGAAAGGGTGTGCAGCTAATCCGTTCTAAATGAAAGATCTCAGTTACAGAATCAATAAGTTACCTGACGATATTCTTCGCAAGAGAATGAAATTGAAAGTCAAGTCAAACAGTACTGCTGATGAACTCAAAAAGAAGGTAGAAATGATGAAGTAAGAGAGGCTAAAAAGATAGCATGAAAGAGAGCATTCTTAGTAATAAGAGTTTAGAGATCAAGAGATGAAGAAAAAGAAGTTATTTGGACAGTTATTTTCAGATGCAGAGACTACAAGCAAGATATCAAGAGCTACTGCAAAGAGAGATCCTTCAAAAGCAGCTATTGATAGCTTGGTTGGTAAGAATGACAAAGAGTCTATTCCAGAAGAGGAGTAAATTAAGAAAAAACCAGCACATCCTATTTTTATCACACTCAATGACTTAGAAAAAATGAATGTCAAATAGTTTAACAGGAATATCAGAGCTGACTTCTAACCAGAGGAATTCTTGTATGATACTGAAGAGGAGGACGATAAAGATAAGAAGAAGAAAAAGAAAGCTAATAAATAATAACATTCAGAATTAGCTGAAAAATTAAAAGCTAAGGTATAGTAAAAAAATAGTTCATTGGAAAATTCATTTGAATCACAACCTCCATAGCCTAAAAGGTCTGAGTAAAAAAGAGGTGGTCACTAGATAGCTAATTAAAGTGAACTGGTAGCTGGATTAAAAACTCATAGAGCATTAGGTGCAGGTGGTCCAATAAAAGCATAATCTTTGATAGAAAATCCATCTGGTAACCCTGTATCAAAATTGAAAAACGCTCCATTGACCTCTAGAAATCACCCAGCTAACAACAAAAGTCAGAATGACTCTCTAGATCTTGGTTATCAATCTTAAAATGAAAAGAAGTCTAAAAAGCTTGTAGCTAGTATCAATCCTAAAAAGCTTTAGCAATAGTCACTGGATCTTTCTAATAAACCATTACAGGGCTCATTAAAAGCATCTAAATCTTAGTAACAACTTCAATAAATAGTATAATCATCTTAACAACCCCAGATGGCGCTAGCGCTAATCTCAAAAGATAAAAACTAGCAGTATAAAACTGATAAGATGCGTGAGAGAGCAAATGAGATAGAGAAGACTACAGAGAAGAAGAATGTACAGAGTATGAAAGACATTCTTAAAATGCATGATAGGCAAGTTAACAAAGGACTAAAAGTAGCAAATAAGAAGCAATGAGCTATCTTATACTTACTAAAATTACACTGCTTAAAATAAAATTATTAATTTCATCATTCTGAAAAATTTGTATATGAAAAATATCAGGGGTTTTGGGGTTTTGGGGTTTTGGGG